CATCACCTGCTGGTGTGGGATTCCCTGCACCTCAACACTTAGCTGTTCGTGTCTCTGGCTCCCCAACGATTTGGGGCATGTCTGCTTGGAACTGTGAATACTAAAGTTCATTATGATATTTGAACCCACCCTCCCCTCAATGGTTCCAGCTTCATGACTGTAGCAAAGGGCTGTGCCTGTCTCAGAGCCATGGGCAGCAGTAATGACATAAAGGACCCAATAGTTAGCCTGTCCTGGAGCTGAAATTCCCTACTCCTTTAAAAAATTTTCTTGAGAAATAGGATGGAGCCTTAATAGAAGAGGGAGAAGATCAGATGGGCCTGTTCAGAATTCATGAAGTGTCCAAAGTCTTCCAGTTTGAAAGGGAGCAGATATGCCTGAAGGCATCTGCACCCCTCAGATTGTCACATTATCACTTAATATCTGCTGGCTCTTGAGCAAGTCACTTAACCTCCACAGGTCTGAGTTTCCTCCTTATTTGTAAAATAAGGTTTGGCTGGATTACCTATAAAGTCCCTTCCAGCTTTAAATCCAAGATCTGTAAACTTGATGGCACAGTCAAGCGGATGGTGGGGAGAGGGAAGGTTGTGCTTCGACTGAATGCATACTAGACATTTTGGCATTTGTCAAGCAAAAGCTAGGCCTGGTATCCTTTTTAAATTTTTCTTGGGCAGGGGAAGGGGGAGGGATCCCTGACCTGTGAGGTCACTGATGGAGACAACGGCCAGTGAAGAAATCTCCTTTGCCGCTATCTATTCAATCTCGTCTGAAGAGTTGTCTGGGGCTTTGACAGAGAGTGACTCTTCTCAGGGTCACAGAATCACCATGTATCCGAGATGGGACTTGAACCCAGGCTGTCCTGACTCCAAGACCTACTTTCTACGTGCTATATCCCATTGCCTCTCTCTGATCTCCTGATAGGGAAGGTTCTGGCACTCATTTGGGCAAGCGATGGCACTCAAACTCAGGGCTGTAGAGGTCTGTTCAAACAGATCCCCTAGACCAGCAGGAACAAAGAGTCCATGCCCATAGTCCAGGGTCCCATTGCTGATGGGGCTAACCTTAAAGCTTCAACAGGAACTGGTTCGTGCTGTTACTAGAACCAAATCAAAGGAAGTTTTCAGAGATCTCAGAGGTCACTATTTGGATGATATGCTTATCTGTGAGATGAGCCTTAAATGAGAGGTTTCCTGTTTAGGGACAGCACACGTAGCTGGCTAGCTACCAGCAGCTTGGAAAGAGGAATGGATTTTGAGTTAGGGACCCAGGATGAAACCTTGGCTCTCTTACTTGCTACCTGAATGATTTCAGGTAAATCACTTCTTTTTTTCTAGGTGGTTTCACTCTCAGGTGATTTCTAAAGCAGAACTTATGGACAAAACTCTTATATTGGTGGTTGTTGTTTAGGACCTGCAGTAAGACCCACCAGGTAGCACATCTAGCCAGCTGATCCAATTCAATTCAACTCGAATGTTGCGCACGGCCCTCTAATACCTGGTGCATGAGTAAACTTCAAAATTCCTATGTATTTTTAGTTCTGCTAGGCTCAGGATCTAATTAAAAATTCAGCAAACATGCATTTATTAAGCACCTATTAGGTGCCAGGCACTGTGCTAAGTGCTGGGTATACAATGAAAGACAAAAACAGTCCTTGCCCTCAAGGAACGTACCGTCTAACGTGAGGGGAGACAACATGCAAAGAACTATGTACAAATAAGACATATACAGAATAAACTGGAGATAATCAACCGAGAGAAGGCACCAGCACTAAGGGGACTGGGAAAGGTTTCTTGTAAAAGGTGGGGTTTGGGTTGGGACTTGAAGAAGCCAGAGAATTGGGGAATCTGCCATGAGGAAGTGAATTCTATGTATGGAAGACAGTTAGTGAAAATGCACGGAGTCAGGAGAGGGAATGGGATTGTGGGGTACAGGAAGGCCACGGTCACTGGATCAAAGAGCACATGAGAGTGAATAAGGTGTTAAGAAGACTAGGAAGGGAGGAAGGGGCCAGGTTATACAAGACTTTGCAAACAAAGAGACAACTTTATATTTGATCTTGCAGATAACAGAGACTCACTGGAGTTTACTGAATGGGGTGAGTCATGACACAGTCAGATGAGTACTTCAGGAAGAACAATTTGTTAACTAAGTAAAAGATGGACTGGAGTGGGAAAAAACTTGAGAAAGGGAGCCCAACCAGAAGGCTATTGCAAACTAAAATTTACAGTGTTAAAATCTTTTATAAATCTCACTTTTTGTATTGTTTTTAAAATTCAGTTTTATTTTCAGTTCCAAATTCTTTCCCTTCCTCTCTCCTTCCTTCACTTCTCTTACCCGTTAAGAAGGCAAGAAGAATATGAAAGATTATTACATTACAAATATGTATACTCACACACAACAAATTCCAACATTAGCTACATCCCACCCCCCCAAAAAAGGAAAGATATTATGTAGTACTATGTTATCAAACTCTGTGCTAAGTACTTTATAAATATATTGTTTGATCTTCACAACAACCGTGGGAGGTTATTATGCTATTATAATCCCCATTTTACAGTTGAGGAAACTAAGGCAAATAGAGGTTAAGTAATTTACCTAAGGTCATATAGCCAGTAAGTGTCTGAGACTGGATTTGAACTTGGGTCTTCCCTATTCCGGGCCTAGTGCTCAATTCCTCTGTAGTTTAGGTCCCTCAGTTTTCTGTTTGGAAGTAGGTAGCATGTTTCATCTTAAGTCTTTTGGAATTGTGGCTGGACATAACGTTGATCAGGGTTCTTATGTCAGAAATCTAATTCCTAGTTGCTTTTTTTTTTTTGGTAATTGGAGCCTTTTCATCCCAAAGCAATAACAGTTCACATTTCTATAGCCTTTTCATATTAACTAGGTGCTTTCTTCACAGCCATCCTATAAGATGGGTAGCCCCCTTTTACAGATGAGGAAACTGAGGTTTAGGGAAGGGCTGTCCAATTAATATAGGGTCAGATCTGGGGCTCAAGTCCAAGTCTCTCCAGACTCTAAAACCAGCATTCTGCCCAAACACAGCCCGATGCTTCCAGGATATCTATCTAGCAGCTCCTCAGGGCCCACTACCTCAAGTCAATGCTCAGATGGGCAAAGAACCAGCTGACAACCGTGGGGTACAGGGAAAAAGCTCTGCAGTCAATCACTTGTGAACATTCTTGAAAATGGACTGTTCACCTCTGACTGAGAGCAATGAAGACTCTCAGCCAGAAAATACTCTTATTCCCAGGAGTTGCAGAATCTTTGGCTAAAGTCCCCTATAAACCACACCAGGACAGGAAACCAACCAGAAAGTCAGAAAAAAGCAGCAGCTGGTTTGTCATCATTGTTATCTCCAAGACCTCCAGAACACACTAAACCCTTGAAGATATCATTTAGATCTATTTGTAAATGTACCTTCTCTCTCTCTCTCTCTCTCTCTGTTTCACACACACACACACACACACACACACACACAATTTCCTGTGCATATTGTTACAAAACCATACCTTTAGTGTTTGCCAAAGCTTATCCTCACTGATATTAATCTTTGAGGGAAATACCATTTCTTAGGTTAAAAACTTGAAAAATTGCTAGGTTCAATTTCTATCTAAAGTTGGGATCACCTACTATCTGAGTATCTCTAGTGGAACATTAGCTCCACAAGGGGAAGAGATGCTTCTTTCTATCCAGTACCTAGCACATAGTAGATGCGAAATGAACAATTGCTGAATTGAAGTCTCTTTTCCCCAGGCAAAAAGTATACCCTTTGTTTTTACATTACTGTCGTTTCCAAGCACATCCAACCTCCTCCTTCCGGACCTCGAGGAAAAAAAAGTTTATTTTAGCAACACTAACCAATATATGTCTCTTCCCCCTTTGCCCTGCCTTCTGGCTTGATGCCATACCTCACTCCCAGGAGTGACCCCCTCGAGGGGGCTGCAATTGCTTTCCAGGCCACGCTATTTTTTATGATAGTCTTAAATGGTGTCTACCTCTGGGACCCAGCAGGCGTCTGCCTGTACCCACCCTCTGGAAGTCTAGCAAAGGTGCAGCAGCTCTTACCAAGATGTTACCAAGGATAACAAACATGCAGCTGTACATGTCATTAGCCCAGGCTAGTTATGGACAAAGCACCATGTTGACTACTAGATAACGAACATTTTTGTCCCCAGAAACTTATAACAATAACTGACATTTACTTAGGGTTTGCCATGGGCTCAAGAAATCATGATTGATGCAAGGCACTTTGGTATTTATTGAGTTAAATCAAACTGAATTTCAAAGACCTTCTACCAAGTTGTAGGGAGGCTGAAATGTGTGTCACTGGAAGGAATACCCACACTGATGAAACTGGAGAGCTGTGATGTACTAAAGCAATAAATCCTATAAATTCAGAATTGAGGGGGAGGCAGCAAAATCACACTGTCACAACATCTATCCCTCAATGCCTAAACTGGGAAGCCCTGTGGAGGCATACAATGGAGCTTAGAATAGGGAAGGGCAGTATTCCTCATAGGTGCTTAAGAAAGGGCAAAGTCAGTCTGCGTCACCAGGAAGGAGGGCCAGAAAAAGACCCAAACTCCAAACATATCCCCCCCCTTTACCCATCACTTAAACCAGTGCTTCCTAAACTGTGAGTCATGACCCCATATGGGGTTGAAAAAAAACTGGCAACAGTAAAAGTAAAATTTGGTAAAACTAAGTGCTCAACAACCAAAAATTAATTAAAAATCAAACTCGTAATGAATGTGAGGTGCTTCTGGCAGCGCTTGCCCATGTATCTGCATCACACAACTCCCCTGCAGCTTTGGTTCTGAACACAAAGCAGGCGCACTTTGCTCCAGAGAAGCCTCAGGCCAAGTGATGCCCATGAACGCTGCCAAAACCAAAAAAGGTCGCGAGTGGAAAAAGTTTAGGACGCCCTTCCCTAAACCGTGGTTCCTTCAGGGGATATAGTTACGAGGAAAGTGCCATGTGGGCTGAAAAAAGACACCGAATGCAAGTACAGAACTTTATTGTGCTGCTTTTAATTATGAAAGATGTAAAACAATGCGTTATAAAACTTAGAAGTTACTTTATACAAATTGCAATTTTTTAAAAATATAATCGAATGTGGAGCTCAGAAGTTAGGTAACCGGAAAGTCCAATTAGTAGGAGGGATGGTCCCTTTCTGAAATGTCTGAAATATACTCAGAACCATCTGTGCACAAATTACAAGAGCCAATTAAAATAACAAATACCAGAAAGGTCTTCAAAGATACAGATGTGGTCAGATATGGCGCATTTTATTTCAGATAATACACTGTAGATTTAGAAGAAAGAAAGTTATAGACAATGGAGATTTAACCTTGAAGTCACCAAGCAAGTCCTCTTCTACCAGTGGGCAACTGAAAGTCCACAACTGCAGAGTGAGAAACGAGTGGGAGCTAGAAGACACTTCAGTTCTATGCCATAACCGCCAGTAAGAGAGAATAACAAAATAGGTGATTTCTTTCCACTTAACCGAATGTTGACAAAGAGTCGACTGTGAAGCACACAGCTGCTTTCCAGGCAGGGATCTGGCCAGCTGGCTGCTGACCCCTGCTGACTGTGTGGTACATCCTTCATACAATCTAAGGGAGGCAGGTTTGATGACGCCCCAAATCTCTTACCAAAAAAAAAGATCCAGATGTCAGAACAAACTGAGTTCAGTGCTGAGCAATGTTCTCACCATTAGACTCCACAAAATAATGAACAGCTGCTCTGGAAGGCACACTTTGCCTGATTGTTCTCTACAAGCAGTACACTTCCTCTCCTCAGGTGCCTGGGTCTCCAATTGTGCGAAGTTGGGGTCACCACGTGGAGCACTGGGACCTCTTTGGGAGAAAGGCACGCTGCATAGGAGCCTGGAAAGGGTGGGGAGAGGGACACTGGACTGCAATCTTTTTCTTTTATACATCTGTAATAGGGTATGTATGTGTACGTGTGCATGTTTGTGCAAATGTTCCTTGATTAGGTCTAAGGGAGGTTGACCAGATCACTGGTCACTTTCTTTTCATCTTCAGTTTAGGAGTGTCAGACACGATGAGGCTTTTTTCAGGCACGCTGGTGATTTAGTAGCAGTTATTTAAATTATGATGGAAGGCACACTACTGTAATTTTACCCTGAGAACTCAAATTTGAAGAATACAAAGAACTGTTCTCATTAACCTGCCTAGCCCTCGTCCCAGTTAAATTTCTGGAGGGCTTCCCGTATGGCCAGCAGGTGTCTGACTAGTCTGATAGAATGAGGGCCACGGGGAAGATGGAGCCTTGGAGGCATCAGGGAGAAACTAAGGGACTTTCTCCTCGGGCAAGCTTTGAGGAATTTGAGCCCCTTCAGCCCCACTCTGCTCAAGGCTGACTCCTCATGTTTGCCAATGATGAACAGCTCTCCTCTCTGCAGAGCTGAGCCATCCAAGATGTTAGGATAAAAATCTTTGTGACTACAAGGACAGATGGGGTGATTCACCAGCCCATTCAATGTGAGTAGAACTGTGGCCCTTTTGAAGGAGACTGCAATATTGCTGGACCTAGGCACAGCTACAAAAAGGTTAGGCTGGGAATGGGTAAGAGGCCCTTGTTTCCAGGGCACCTCTCATCCCCTGCCCATCCGTCCAGGGCTCTCGTGTTCTCAACCATCCCTGGCTTCTTTGGAGGGAGCTCGCTCAGTCCACATCCCCTGCCACTGTCCAAGGGGTCTGGACCCATCAAAACCCACTCGCTGCATTTCCCAACTCTCAAGGAGTTCTCCCAGGGGAAAAAACTTCTACTAAATTACTATCTATTAAGGTGTTATTGACTGACAATGGTTTTAATGTGGAATATAGTATCCTGACCCAAAGGAATGAATCTCTAATTAAGGAAACCAAAGCAATATCTACACAGATCTATGGGGAGCATTTTTTGTGGCAATGACTTCTCAGAGCCCCTCAAACCCCGCTCAATCTGCAGTGCTGATTCTCTTTCTACCTAAGGCCAGCCCTGGCTCCCAGAATGCTCAGGCACTCAGGAGACTAGCTGAAACCTGAGCCCCACTGCACTTTGTGGAATGTGACTCCCAAAGAGAACCTGCTGGCTTTACTCAAGTAGGACTCTGCTGTCTAATGACACACACATGTTAGTGTGCACACTTAACCACAAGCTAAGTGATATAAAGAAATAAAAGATCAGGAAACAGTGGGCAGGAAGCAAGGCTGGACGGGTCTTTGGGGATTGCCGCATTATAAGATTAGCCACCAGCAAGGCAGATTGGCATGACCACCCTTGGCACAAAGAGGGAGCTCTGCCCAGGGATATCCTGCTGCTGAGACGGAATCAGATCCAGAATGCTAACCTCCCACTGAGTCTACTCTCCTGCAGTCGGCTGGCTAATCTCAGAGTACCCTATCGTCTTTTCTCTCCTCGGCCACTGTTTTCTCAGTGATCAATTAACATTGTCCTTCCTGTGCCACATGAAAAATACACAGAAGCAGCGGGGGTATTGAGATAGAGAGAGAAGACAAATTAACATTCAGTTTGCCCAGTTAAAACCCGGGTTGGGGCTCCCTGTCTTTCTTTGGAAAAATGAATCACGGGATCTCAAACAGCAATGCTGCTCTCTGTACACTGGGCTGTCATCCACCGGTCACCAGAGCGCCAGCTGGCTGAGAACTCATTGCCCAGCTACAGTCCCACAGACCAAATGCTAAGCCGATGGCAACAGCTCCCGCCAGGTGCGATTTTTCTACCGCGGAGCTCCAGGTGTGCTGATGGCGAGTGAGCTCTTCAGAAAGAGGCATCTGTCCCGCCAGAGCAGCTGCCCCCAGACACAGGGCCTCACTTGGCTGATGGCCTCAGCACCAGTGAGACGGCTGCTGTGTCTGGCCCCCGCCTGAAGCCTCCAAGGTGAGGAGCTGGTCCTGCCCTGCTGGATCCTGGGGGCTGGCTCCAGTGCTGGTGGGGACCACTTCTGCAGCATGGCTTCAGACACAGTCTGCTGCTCTAGCCCAACCTCCTGCTCACAGGCGGTCAGATCGAAATGTCTCCTCCACGGAGGGGTCCGGCAACCCCATGCTCGGGTCCCTTAGCATGTTGAGTCCATCCAAGCTCAGGGGTTCAATCTGGAATTCATCATCCAAAGGAAAAAGACTGTCTGTATTAAAGTTCGACTCTGGCAGGCCTGCCAACGCGCTACTGAGGTCTTTGAACAGACTGGCATTTGTGTCTTCTGTGAGATGCAGAGAGAAGGGAGAAAAACGTGTTGGGTGAAAGATAAAATTCTATGCCCTACTTTGAAAAACAACAACAACAACAAACAACTAGATATTTACACCAAAACCTGAAAACCCCTTTTACCAGTACGGGACCCCAACGATGATAGTTTGTAAGCCACTTAGGGTCTCTGGTCCATCAGACTCTGAAATGTTCCCCTAGTTCAACGATCACCTTTCAGTTCAAGTGACTTCCAAATCTGGGCCTGCAGCTACACATTCCTGTTTTCTCTTCAGTCCCATCTTTCTTGATTTGTACATATTCTCTCTATTTAGGTTCATAAGATCAGAGGCTTTGAGACTAGAAAGTATCAATAATCCTCTAGTCCAATGTGTTCATTTTACAGATGAACTGACAGAGGTTCAGGGGTTATGTGACTTGTCCAAGCTCATCCAGGAGGATTTGAACACAGTCTTCCGATTCCAAATCCAGCCCCTTTTCCCTCACACTAGGCACTATTCCTGCTCTCTAAGTTCTTTCACACGATTTCAAGGGTTAGGGAGTAGAATGAACCCACCGAGCAGACATCAGGAAGACACATGGAACCATCAATCGGGTGAGGTAGGCCCACACTTACCAGTTAGGACGGTGTTTGGGAAACTCCCACAACTGGAATACAGGAAATTTGGTCGCAGCTGAACAGAGTTCTGCAGCCCTCTCTGAGCCTGCTCCATCACAGCTGCCTACGGATACCAAGGATGCAGGGTCAATGAATGCTGCCTGAGGACAGTGACACCCAACAGTCTAGACTAGAGCTCTGTTTTCAAAGCTAAGTTAGTCTTGCAACTCCTCATGAGCCCACAGCAAATCTCTTACTGTTTCACTGGCAACCTGCACTGCCACAGCACCTCTGGCAGAAAGGTAAAGGCAATATCCCTTTACAGATGAAGTAAGTGACTGATGTAGTTCACCTAATAACCTCAAACTGCTTTGAGTTCACTCAATCACCTCTTCAGTTCATACTGGCCCTCTGAGCCAGAGGAGACGTTGATTATCAAGGAATCAAGCAGACCACTGTCCTCATTTCTGGGCTCTTTGTATTCAGCTCTCCTCCCCTACCTCTACATAAGAGTCAAGAACTACCAGGCTGCTCCATTATGGTTCATCACAGTAACTGATAAGAAGGCCAAACTACCACTTAGTTACCTGACTCAACCCTGTCCTTGGATTTGGGTTTAACTTCCTTTATATGAGGATGAAAGCATCTCAAATAGCAATGTTATTCCAAAATAAAGTCTCTGTAAAAACTGGGTGGAATTCGTGAAGAAGTTTCTACAAATTCATCTTCTGACCGTTTTCAGAAAATAAATCAATGAATGTTTATTAAGCACTTTGTGCCAAGCAACATGTCTTTCCAGTAAGCCCCATAAGCCTGATGTCAGCCCAGGATCCAGCTCCCCTCCTCCTGGAGCCTCTATTCTCACCAGAGCCTTCCCAGTGAGTGCTGCAATAGCCCAGCATCTTGCCATCTGTCTCCTGTCCTCTGTTTTAACCTTAGTGCCTTCTCCTGTGCTCCAGAGGCCATCCCACGGTCATCCCAAACAGACAGCTCCCCTACTCAGCCCAGACACTAAATTAAGCAGTAATAAAACAGATCTGGAGACAGAAAGTATTCAAGCCACAGAAAGGACCACATGAAAACAAAAAGAATTACCCTGTTTACCATCAGGGGTTTCTATGTGAAAGTTTAGAAAATCTGGTTCACACCTAAGGGAGGGTGAAGCAAAAGAGCACAAAACACTTTGGCACCCCAAGGTTTGCCTACCTGTTGAGAAAAGGCTGGCCCTTGCCTTAAGGCCTGTTGTTCAAAGCATGCATCTGGGAAAAAGCTGGTCAAAGAAGAGCTCTTCAGAAACAAGAGGCAAAGAGTTAGATTTTGTTTTAGTAAGAAACAAAGACCATTCTGTATTCCTTCCCTTGCCAGGAATGCCTTTTGCTACTTACATGGGGAGAGAAGAGCTCAAAATCTGAATGTGGTGGTGGAGAAGAGAGCTGGGGCTGCTGGACGTGGGCTTGTTCTGGGGCTCTGGGTTGCTGCAGGGGGTGCTCAGGGAGCTCTTGGGGCATGGGATAAGGTGGTGGTAGTGGGGTTTGAGCTTCTGTAGGAAGGAAGGAAAGGGGACTTCTATCAGAAGGAACAACCTGGAAAGCAAACAAAACAGAAATCAAACTAACTTCTATGTTACCACAACTAAGAAATAACAGGAGAGATGCGTAGGTCTGCTGCCCTTTTCATTCAATAATAAGTTTTCTTCTCTTCAATCACTTATTTTTTAAACAATTGATTTCCCTTCCTTGAAAATCTATCTCTGATCTCATTTCCCCACAAAAGCCTTTTTGTCTTTCAGTGTCAATTTCCACTGACCTCAAGCTCTGAAAAAATGCCTTAAGACACCAAAACCACAAAAATTAAAAAAATATAATGAGAGAATAATCCTTGCACATCTAATCTAATTTGGTCTAGTATGAGGGCTTTTGACCTGGGATAAATGGTCTTTACAAAATATATCAAGACAGACAGAGATAAATAGATAACCATATATAAAAGGTTTCCTTTGTAATTCTATGTATTTCATTTTATGCAATTAAAAACAGTATTCAGAGGTCCAAAGACCATTCACCAAATGCCAAAGGGGTCCATGAATAATAAAGATGAAATCCCTCAGACTGTGAGTTTCTTGAGAGCAGAAGTTGCTTTTGCCTCTTTTTTTTTGCATCCCCTGTGCTTAGCACAGTATACAGCAATCCTTTGATAAATGGTTACCGTCTTAAAGAATCTCTGCTCTAGAATGTACCTTGGATGTATGGACTACATCTTTTTTGTATCCTGTAAAATAGTTGGGGAGGGGGGAGTCAAAGGGGATGCAACACTTCAAAATGACACAAATTTTTAAACACTAAAGAGACTCCTCCCATAGTTAGTAAATTATGTCGACAATCTTTATTTCTTCTATTACCACCTTACACTGGTGTAACAATTTATAATTACAAAGCTTTTTTGTATCCAAGATCAAAGGTAATCTTCAAAACACCGGGCAGTCTGGGAGACAGGGCAGCATCATTACCTCCGAAGGCAGTCATTTGCTCAAGGTCAGAGTTAGTGCCTAGTTGAGCTGGGAGTAAGGTCACTCCTCGTCTAGTGATCTAACACAACCCAACTGCTATTAATCTGTGTGAAGCATCTAAAAAGCTATGACCGCTGGAAAATGTTCAGAACCACACCAGCTTCAAAAGTACATCAAGTCAACAAGCCAGCCTATTTTTTCATCCTTCATCCATGGCTTCTGGATAGGATCAGAAGTTCTAATTCTTCCTCTCTAGGTTACTTTTTAGCCCATTTCTAGTGGCCTCAATACCTAAAAGCCTTCATAAATTTTCACAGAGATTAGAGCTGCAAGATACCTTAGCAATCTGTGACTTGCCCAAGGTCACAGTGTAAACTATTCATGGTAAAGCAGCAGCTAGAATAGAGATCTGTTTATTTCTGGTCCACTGATCTTTCCATGAAGCCACACCATTCAATTTCAAATCTATAAAGAGAGATGATCAGGGAAATAAGCCCTATCTGATTTAATGAGTATCAGACGTCTTTGATGCCCCCTCTGGCATTCCCTGCAAAGAACTTTTAAAATGCTTTATTACTCCTTTTATTTGGTTGTGCACAGAGAAAGTAAACTCCATTTACTATGTGCCTAAGTAAAATGTGATTAGTAAGGCAAATTCGCTGTCACATAATGCCGTCCGATATTAAAGGAAAATGACCTTTGGACTGTCTACATCACTGCCCATTCCATTTTCATGTGTTAGGCAGGGCTAACTGCATTTGGAGACTAGTGCCCAGTGAGCCTGCTCTAAAATAATCCAAGGAGAAAGATTTGTAGAGATTTTGATCAAGTCTTCATTTAACGGATGAGGAAACTATAACCCAATATGACTTGCCCAAGGACACAGACCTAGTGAGTAATATATCATCTCCTCCAGGCTAAGACTGCAGAGTAGGACCCCTGTTTAGCATGAAGGCTTACCTGGGAGGTAGGCAGCTGGTTCAGGGGGCTAGTGGAGGAAAACTGTCTGCTGAAAACTCGAGGTGTCTCAGGGCCTGGGGAGAGTGTAAGAGGGCTCACTGGAGGCTGCCTACGCCGACTTGGGCCGCTCAAGCTCGTGGTAGAAAGAGAAGGGTTGCTAAGTGAAAACAGACGGAGTGACGGCTGAAGAGCTGAGGCACTGTGAACAGATGTCTGTGGGCAGATGTTTAAGGAGGAAGAAAGTGCTGTTTTATTCAGTGTGGCTTGGATGGAGGGGTTACTCCGAGAACTTTGAAGACCTAAGAAAAGACAACAAATTCACTGTTATTCTCACTATTTCAGACTTCTCTGAATCTTACTTTCCAAACATTAAGAAAAATTTGAGTCCCCACCAGCCATATTTGACAAAATTTTAAGAGTCTTATTATTCTCGGTCACCTCTTCTACTCTGAAATGTATTTAATAAAATGTGAACCACTGACAGGGCAGCCAGCTAGCGCAGTGGATAGAGTGCCAGGCCTGAAGTCAGGAAGACTTTTCATGAGTTCAAATCTGGCCTCTGACCTTTATAAGCTGTGTGACCCTGAGCAAGTCACTTAACTCTGTCTGCTTCAGTTCCTCATCTACAAAATGAGCTGGAGAAGGAAACAGCAAAACCACTGCAGTGGCTTTGCCAAGAAAACCCCAAATGGGGTCACTAAGAGTCAAAGCCAACTGGAAGGAGTCAGCAGCAACAGCAAAGCCACTGACAAGGGAAAACAGTTCCGCTAGACGAAACAGGGAATCTCCTCGACATAGGAATGACACAAGAATGTTCCAAAAGAACGTTACAACCATGTAAAAAATGAATTTCCACTTCAGGTTCCTAAATGGAAGGCTCAGGTATCCAGGTAAACAGCTACTCCTGGAGTCAAGCAGCCAAGACCTAACTGGGGAGAAATGTTCCTTTGCACTAGGAGGTACACAGGTGAATCTGGGAATCTGAACAGGCTTCTCTGAACTAGGGACAGGAATGTTCTTCTTCCTTTTTTGCTGAAGTTTTATTGATACCTTTTGTTTTTTATATGACCATTGTCTCTATGTATTTCTTACTCCCACCCAATGAGCCTCCCTTGTAATAAATAAAAGCAGTGAAGACCAACTGACACAGAAACTTAACAGTGTATGCAACATGCTGCCTCCATAGGCCTCCACCACCCCAAGAAATGGAAGGAGGTATATTTCGAGGTTACTCTTCTGAATTCTTTGCGTTGATCTACAGATCGACTTGGAATCCAGGTTTTTAAATGGTCACATTTTATTACGCTAAAATCCAGCTAGAGATAGAGGAGACAGTGCTGCGAAACTAAGGGAAAGAATAATGAGTCCCCTCCTCCCTAGTAATACCTCTGCGTTTTAGGAGTGAGGGAAGTGTTCATCATACTCTGTCCCAATACAGGTAAAAGGAAGAGTTGGGGGATGGGGTAAGCTTTTTTTTCTCTAAAGGTCAGAGGTGGCCAGTGAGTCTAAGAATATGGAAGGGAGTATGGAAAAAGTGCTTCCATGTCTGAAGAATTAGGTATTCCTATGAAGTAAGGAGACTAATTTTCTTGCAAGACTTGTGGAAACAGAAGAGTGACTCTAGGATGTGTTGTAATATATCTCAACAGCTGCAATACTTTCAAGGTTGGCCAATCAGTTTTGTTTAATGATTATGATGAAAAGGAGGTTGGATTATTCTATGAAGGGTAGAAAATTAATGTTATTTAGTGCAAAGGAATAGGAACTACTTTCTTGCTGAAAAAAAAAATATCCAGGGATCCACTGACCCATTACAAAGACTTTAGGATAATTTCAAGTGCAAAAATTTGTGACTGGCACAAAATTTCAGGGCCATGAATCATTTATCCAATACTTCACTGCAATTTATAAAATGCAGGAAAACTGAGAAATTGGTTTTGTTTTGTTCAAACATATGAATAATAAGAGAAGGATGGCTGAAAATGAAGCCCCATTCTGGGGAAAAAAGCTCAACACTCAAACATGAAAAAAGTTTTTGTTGACAATGGTGTCTGTCCTGTTTTCTATCATAAAAACAAATAGGGCATTCATTCTTTCGGAGAAAGCTAAAAAAAATGTGCTTTTGAGGCAAGTTGTAACTGACGATATTTCCAATATGAGCCAAAAACAAACTACTAAGGTCTGTAATAGAACTCCCGAAGTCCTGAGACCCAAGAGATGCATCAGATGTGAAGTAACGTGAGACAATGTTTTCTGTCTTTGACATCAGTGGCACTGTTCATGTCAAGTTCATTTCCAGTGGTCAGATAATCAATTGGGGATATCATGCGGAAATTCTGAAGTAACTGAGAGATTCTGTATGATATGAAAGAATGAACTTGTGGCCCATTAATTGGAGTTTTCACCACGACAGTGCTTGAGTTCATAGTATGTGCTCTGTAAAACAGTATCTGTCTATCACCCATCTTGATCACCCACCTTGTGGAGGTAGGGTTGATTCTGAAAGATTTCTGACTATTTTCAAAAGTCTAATCCACCCTCAAGGGACAGAAGTTCCACTATTAAGGACATTTCAAAAGAATGAAAGAATGTTCCATGAATGCTTAAGGCAGATGACAAAGAGAAGATACAAAATATTTTGAAATACGACTACTGTGGAAATATGATTGCACATGTAAAGCCTATATCCAATTGCATGCCATCGTGGGGAGAGGGGAAGGAAGGGAGGAAGAAAAAATTTTGGAACTCAAAATCTTACAAAAGTGAATGCTGAAAAATGATTAAATAAATAAATAAATATTTTGAATATCACTAGAAGTCAGTTTTCACTTGGAGACCTGGTTATGTTTGCTTGAAAAATCTAGTCTCATTGCTTTATAATTATATCCTGTATTCTACCTTCGATCAAAAAGAGAGGATAAAAGCCTGAAAATATTTTAACCTCTTAAAGTAACTGTTAAAAACTGTTTCTAAGAGGCTTGTAACTGTAAATGATACCCTTATTAACACTGCTGCAAAAGTAGCAGGACTGATTATTTTACATTGAGTAAGGACACAGAACTGCCTCAGATGCCTGTTTTGACTTGGGCAGTTTTAGAAGGACATGACTCAGTCAACAATTTATTCAGATATGTGCACTAACAGGCCACATTATAATGAATATTATTTTATTAATACCATCATTAATGATATTAACATACTCTCAAGTGCATATGCAAATTTAAACCAATATAAATTGTAACTGCATCTATTTTTATTACTACATACATACCGAAGTGTAAAATGATAAGCCTTTATAAAATTTCCAAAACGCGAAATAGTTTATTTTCCCATTTATCTGAGGTTATCCCTGGAACACCCTGAACTTCCAACAAAGCAAGCTGTTATGATCTTTTCTCTTTCCCACCATTAGGACATATTTCAAACATAAGAAGCTATGCCCTTCCCAACTACAGCCAAGTAAATGACCCTTGGGCTACCCCAGGGTCCAAAAAGGAAGGGCCATGATGTTCCATGAGAACAGACGCACAGAACTGAGATTAAAGCGACATGGTCTCTTCTACTCTTCTCATTCAACGAAATTGTAAAGTGCTTCACACACATGTTGTAAAATCCTATGTGAATATTATATTTATTATTATAATTATTATTATTGCTGCTGTTAACCACCTGCACAGCTGGCTGGGAGCAGGCCACGTAGCCGGCTTCGTTCCTTTGTTTAGTCACAAAATTGTATTTCTACAGTCCTCACGCCTGTTGCTGCTGTTCAGTCATTTTCAGTCACGTCTGACTTTTCGTAACCCCATTTTGGGGTTTTCTTGGCAGAAGTACTGGAGCAGTTTACCATTTCCTTCTTCAGTTTATTTTACAGATGAGGAAACTGAAACAAAGAAGGTTAAGTGACTTGCCCAGGGTCACACAGCTAGGAAGTGTCTGAGGCTGGATCTGAACTTAGGAAGCTGAATCTTCTTAACTCCGGGCCTGGCGCTCTACGCACTATGGTGTCACCTAGCTGCCCTCTTCTTGACTAATGGAAATTAATTACCTGAAGAGCTTCTAATCCCCAGATGAGTCATAGCAGCTGGAAGATTTCCCACACTATTGCCAACACTCATACTGCCAAACCAGTGGCCGTCAGGATCCAAAGATGTTGGCAGAGGGGATGAGGAATGAAGGCTGGTTAAGTCAGGTAATGACCCTCCAGTGTTGAGGTTCCCCAGAAAAGGAGCTAGTCCTGTGTTCTGGCCATTATGTGGAAAGGCACTAGAAGAAGAAGGACAAATTATTTTTCCAAAGTAATGGGGGGCTAGGAAATCATACATATACAATTTCAAATAACAATATAGTTTAATTACCATAGCTTACAGTTTTTTGTTTTTTTAAGGCAACTGGGGTTAAGTGACTTGCCCAGGGTCACACAGCCAGTAAGTGTCAAGTGTTTGGTCTGAGACCGGATTTGAATTCAGGTCCTTCTGACTTCAGGGCCAGTACTCTATCCACTGCGCCACCTAGCTGCCCCTCGTAGCTTACAGTTCTTAACAAGGAGTTTTTCATATTTACATAAGTGTGTAGATATGAGACTTCTATACCATCTTTCCCAAAAGCCATCCTAGAGAATTCAGGCCACTCACTTCCTGGGCTTTTTTTTTTAAGGCATTCTCTCCAAAACCCAAAGGTAGGAAAGAGATGCTATTCTTCTCTACTGAGATCAGAAGTACAGGCACTAAGGCATCAACAAAGACATTAGTATTCTATCTAGTAGACAACAGAGCTAGGAAATTCAGTCCCAAACTAAATAAACTATATTCAAATATGTCTTAGCAAGCTGAGTTCTAGGTTGCAAATTTAAGGCAACTTTCAATAACTTCCCTAAATCTGGTGCCTGTATTTTAATACAAAGACAGGAATCCTATCACCACCTATTTATGTTGTGAACACTTGCTTGGCCACCCTCGTTAACATACTAAGTTAACAACTGACTCCATGTTATCATGTATCTCAGTGATTCCTAATAATTTCTGAGTAATGGGAAGCCCACAGATTTTTCTTCAAGTCACCAAGCATTCATTAGGTGCTTGCTATGTGTCAATCACACCATGAGCACTTTTCAGAATTTTTTTTTTAATTCATAAAATAAAACATACAGGATTACAAAGGAAACCAATTACACTGAAATAAAGTTATTATAAAATACTTTAAAAAATAAGTTCATAGGCCCCAGGTTAAGAACGCTTGGTCTAGCTATTTGGAATTGAGGAGAGTAGGAGGGTTGGCTGTATATGTGCAACAAAATAACTTAACCTTCTCCTCACTTGATTCTAACTGGACCAATAGGTCTCAGGAAAAAGCCCCAGAATTGAAGAATTCATGGCAAAATTCAAAACATTTAATAGTTTAAATAAATATGGAGTATAAAGAAAGGGATTTGGTGACCACAAAGAATACACATGGTTTCATCAAGGTAAGGTTATGCCAGGCTATAAAGCTTAAATCCTTTTTGGACAGTTACCACATTAGGGTAATACTGTCATTATAGTTAACCTAGATTTTAGACATTTTTGACAAAATGACTTATACAGTCCGTGTGAGAAAGACAGAAATATGACTTCAGGAAAGCAGCAGGGTATAAAATAAACCCACGAAAAACCATCCGCATTCTGTATGTTGCCAATAAAACCCAGCAGAAAGAGGCAGAAAGAAAAACCCCATTTAAAATAACAAAAGATGTATAAAATACTTAGGAAAACACACAAAAGAACTATATGAACATACTCACAAAACATTCTTTGGGAAATAAAGATAAATCTAAATAATTGGAGAAATATTAACTGCCCATGAACAGGCAGACAATAAAAATGACACTAACTAAATTAATTTGCTCATTCAATGCCATATTATTTAAACTATCAAAGGGCTACTTCATAGAGCCAGAAGAGAATAGAATTCATCTGGAGGAGAAATAGGTTAAGAATCTAAGGAGAAATAATGGGGGAAAAAGGGGGCCACATGTGGCCCTCTAGGTTCTCAAGTGTAGCCCTTCGACTGAATCCCACATGTGGGCTTGAGGCCTCAGGTTGCCCACCCCTGGAACAGGTATACAACATAAAGAAATAAATGAACCTAGTAGCCTAATGTTTGATAAGCCCACAGACCCTAGCTACTAGAGTAAGAACTCACTGTCCAAAACAAAACTGCTGAGAAAACCGAAAAGCAGTCCAGCAGAAATTAGGTTGAGGCCAATACCTCATACCATATATTAAGCTAAGTTCCAAATGAATATAGGACTTATGTAAAAAGTCACATCATAAACAAATTAGAGGAGCAAGGAAGAAATTTCCTTTCACATCTACAGACAGAGGATGAATTCATAACCAAATAAGGTGTAGAGATTATTGCAGAAGATAAAATGGACAATTCTGATTATGTAAAATTAAAGTTTTTACGCAGACAAAGCCAATGTAGCTAAGGAAGGGACACAATTAACTGGGAAAAATCTTTGCGGTAAGTTTCTCTAACAAGGTATCATTTCCAAGTTCTGTAAGGAACAGATACAAATTTATAAGAATAAGAGCCACTCTCCATTGATAACTAGTCAAAGGATATAAAAAGGGCACTTTCTAGGAAAGAAACCCAAGCTACCCATAGCCATATGAAAAAATGCTCTAAATCACTAAAATTGGATTTCTACAACTTAAAGCAATTCTGGCAATTTAAAGCTGACAAAAATGAAAATGAAATTTGCTAGAGAAGCTTCAGGTAAAAAGGAAGATTATGGTGGAGCTGTAAATTGGTTCCTCTATTTTGGAAAGTCATTTGGAACTATGCCCCCAAAGTTATTAAACTGCTGTGTATCCTTTGAATCCAGCTATACCACTACCAGGCCCAGTTTCAGAAAAGCCTAAGAAGACTTGCAAGAACTGATGCAGAGTAAAGTAAAAAGGACCAGGAGAACAACACTGCAAAAACGAACTGCTGTGACCAACTCAACGCCCAAGTACATGCCAAAGGACTGATGGTGAACAACATTCCCTTCCACCTAAATGAATATTTAATACATTTTCCTTTTTCAGTGGATGGGGGAAGTTGGAGGCAGAGAAAAATCAATGCTTGTTAAATGAAAAATAAAAAATTTAATTTAAAAATAAAGTTAATGGGGCAGCTAGGTGGCGCAGTGGATACAGCACCGGCCCTGGATTCAGGAGGACCTGAGTTCAAATCTGGCCTCAGACACATAACATGTACTAGCTGTGTGACCCTGGGCAAGTCACTTAACCCCACTGCTTAACCCCCCCCAAAAAAAAAACAAAACAAAAAATAAATTTTTAGAACAATCCATTTCATGATGGTGAGATTAATTTTATACTTTGGCATAGATTGTGAAAATATATATAGAATTCTGTCTTAAAATAAAAGGAAAAATTTTTTATAAAAAAAAAAAGAGATATGGCCTCTACAATTATACTGTTAGATGAAGTCAAAAGTGGTTGAATGACCAAACTCAAAGAGCGGTCATTAATGGCCTGATGATTGGCCTTCTTTTATTTTAATATTTTTATCAATGACTTGGGTAAAAGTATAAAATGCATGCTTTCAAATTTACAGATGACACGAAGCTGTGAGGGATAGCTAATACACTCTATAATATGATTTTAAAAGAGCCTAAAAGGCAAGAACTTTGGGCCAAATTTACTAAGAGAATTTTTAAAAAGGATACATGTAAAATCTCACCCTTAAGTTCCCAAAAAATCAACTTCTTTGTTTTCCCCAGAAAAGGGATAACACTCTTTCCAGAGTAACGTGTGAGTAAAAACATGGCAGTGGGGAGAGGGTATATAAGTACAGCCTGACTACCACAGATGGTTTGTATCAGGAAGCAATGAGTGGTAAATTACTAATTATAATTAACAATCACTTAAGGTCCTCTTAATGATCCACTTAAGGCCCTGGAGTCAGGAGGACCTGAGTTCAAATTATTTAATGACCACTTAAGTGGCCAAACCCAATGGCTTTTTCTCAACCTTCATTCTCATTGGCATCACTGCAGCCTCTGTCACTCTCTCCTCCTTGATACTCTCTTCTCTCCAGGGTTTCAGGCACCACTCTCTCCTGGTCCTACCCGTCTGACTTCTCCTTCTTTGTGTCTTTTGCCAGATCTTCCTCCAGACCACTAACTGTAGGCTTCTCGTAGGAATTTGTCCTGGGCCCTTTTCTCTTCTTTCTCCACATCACTTCACTTAGTGATTTCATCATCTCCCATGGATTTAATGACCATCTCTATGTGGATGATTCTCAAATTTATTTATCCTACCCCACATTCTCTGCTGACCTTCAATCTCACATCTTCAACGAACCTTCAGACATCTCATAATGGACATCCAGTAGACACCTTAAACTCAACAGGTCCAAAGTGGAACTCTTTATCTTTCCCCTAAACCTTCCTCCCAGCCTCGGAGTCATCCCTGACTCCTCACTATCTTTCACCCTCCATATCCAATCTTGTTGCCAAAGTCTGCCGATTTCACCTCCGCAACATCTGTCTGAATACATCTCCATTTTTCCTTTGGCACTGCCACCACTGGTACAGGTACTCAATTATCTCAAACCTCATTTATTGCAACAGCCTTTCTAGTGAGAATGCCTGCCTCAAGTCCTCCAATCCATCCTCCACTCAGCCATCAAAGTAAGTTTCCTAAAGTGCAGATCTGATCACATCATTCCCCTGCTCAATAAACTCCAATGGCTTCTTACTGCCTACAGGAACAGAATGCTGTGTTTGGCATTCAAAGCCCTTCGTGACTTAATCCCCCCCCCCTCCTGGTTTCCCATCACGTACTCTCTGATCCAGTGACACTGACCTCCTGGCTGTTCCAAGAACAAAACGCTCCCTGGCTCTGTGTTTTCTCTCTCTGGCCGTTCCCCATGCCTCTTCAGCTCTGACTACGGCCCCTCCTGTTTTCCTTTAAATCCCAACTAAAATCCCATCTTCAACAGGAAACCTTTTTAACCTCTCTTAATCCTACTAAGCTCTTATTTATCTTTCGTATAGTTTACTCTGAATATTTTTTTTGAGGCAATTGGGATTAAGTGACTTGCCCAGAATCACACAGCTAGTGTTATGTGTCTGGGGCCGGATTTGAACTCAGGTCCTCCCGACTCCAAGGCCAGAGCTCTACCCACTGCATCACCTAGTTGCCCCTTAGTCTGAATATTTTTGTTTGCTGGCTGACTCTCCTATTATATTACAAGCTTCTTGAGGGCAGGGACCATCTTTTGTCTCTTTTTGTATCTCTAGCACTTAGCTTAGTGCCTGGAACACAGGAGTCACTTAATAAATGGTTATCAATTGATACCTACAGTGAGGAGGACACAGCATGGAGGGTTTGGGATGCTGGGGCTGAGGAGCTGAGATTTCATCCATTAAGGAGCCACTTTATGCTCTTTAAAAAGACAAACACTGGGGGACCTAGGTGGCGCAGTGGACAGAGCACTGTCCCTGGAGTCAGGAGGACCTGAATTCAAATTCAGCTTCAGACATTTACTAGATTTGTAACCCTGGGCAAGTCACTTAGCCCTGGTTGTCAAAAAACAAAAAAATTTAAAAAGACAAATATTGGGTTAGTATACAGGATGGACTGAAGTGGAAAATAACTATAGGCAAAAGAGACTGAAATGATTCAGGTAAAAATGGCTAAGGCCTGGGATGACCCTTTGGGAATGAAGAGAAACAGATACCAAAAGAAGCAGTAAAGGAACAATCAAAGGGACTTAGGGATCTAAGGGGGAAAGGGAGTACCCAAAACAGGCTGCCTTCAAAGATCTTTGAGGAAAGGTGAGGTGGCCATGTGTCAAAGACATTGTAGGAAGCATGCTTGCTCAGAGACAAGCTGGACTAGATGACCTCTGAGATCTAGTCAACGTCTCAGATTCTTTGACTCTGCATTTAAAGACTATGAAAAGGGGTATCACTGATGACTGAAATGAGGATGTGAGCCAAGAAAGTCAATCTGAGGGATGGGAAAGATGAAGGCTTTAAGCTGTAGATAAACTGAATGTGAATGTTATTCAAATGAAAGGTTCTTTAGGAAATATGGGACTGGAGATGAGGTGAAAAGAGTTAAGACCTAGAGAATATAAACTCTCTAAGGATAAATGTAAAAAAGAATAGAGAGAAATAACCAAATCTTGAGAACATTCACAATTATGAGTTGTAAGAAGGAAAAAAACTGACAGCATGCTATGCTACAGAAACCACCTAGAGAGATCTCCCTGAAGAAACAGGTGGTCGAGCACCCAGCACCATCGGGAGATCAAGGACATCTGGCTAGAAAAGTCACTGGTAGCAAATGAGAGAGTAGTTTCATCCCACAGTGAGAAGAAACAAGTAAATAACTTTAATTTTCTCACAGATACTCTGAGCTACCTTCTCAAATGTGGTATCTAAGGCTCTGCAGTTCGCCAGAAAAGCAGACGAGGTACATTTAAACTCAGCATCCTTGGAATAAATGAACAGAATAGGCATCGAACTTCCCAAGGTTCCAAATCAAGCCCTCTACCCACTTGGAACTTTCTTGAAGCAAAACACCTTAGGATAATTCCTGAGAGAGGGACAGTGGCACGATGCTACTTACTTGACACCTCCCACATCACAGGATCGAGGGCGAGCTGAAAGGGACTGAATCTAGGAGAGAGACACAGGAAACTGGGATTACATGCCACGACATCACATTAACAGAAAATATGCCTTCTCACGTATTCGGGGAGGTAGAAAACAGCATCTTTCAGTCCAAATAAGTTTTAGCACAGAGAAGTTAGCCCCCACATGCAAACCACTGAGTCTGCAAATGGATTTTAATGTTTGAAATAGATAAGGACACAGAAGGTATACATTAACTTTTCTGAAGGGGCTCCTGCTACATTTTAAAATCTTTTCAAGGTGAATATGACGTTTCAAAGAGCTCAAAAGTGTGTTTAAGCAAACGTTTTTCAAACCGAGTTAGCGGGAAAGCAAGCCAAGATTAAAAAGTGGATGTATCTAATAAAGGATAGCTCCGGAGAAGGCAAGACAGGAAAACAGAAGAGACAAGGAAAGGGGAAGCACAAGCAGCTCAACAGTGTTAGATGAAAATGGTCCAATTATTGAAAAAAAAAAGTCCCTAAAAACTCCCATTCCTGAGAATGTTTTATAGGGCACAATGACTTCAAGACAAATACTACTGATGCTTAATTAAGGCACTGAGATGATTCTTAGCTTTCCAAGGTCAAGCCAGAAGATCAAAATCTCTGGCATGTTCTGCCAAGCGAGAAAGGCTGCAAGTATGAGTCCAGCAACAGTCTGTGTCTGCAGTCAAAGGTCCAATTTAAGTTCAAGTGAGAGGCTCATTGCCAAAAGAATGACCACTAGGTGGTGATTTTTTTTTCTGGACACGAACAATGAAATAAAAACTGAAAACACGGCTCCCTTCTGTTTCCTACCATGCATGTAAATTAGATGCTCTGTGGGGGGTTTATGGGAGGATGAAGACAAGGACAGCACAGGATGAGAAAGTGTGGAGGGGCTACGGTCTACCCTGGTGGTGGCGATATTTACATCAATGAGGTCATGGGGCCATCAGACTTGTGCACAAAAAAAAAAGTGAGATAAAAGACATGCGTGACCAATGAAAGGATGGGGCAGTCACTCAGTGAGAGAGAATAATAACAGATGGACGGTCCAAATGTTTCACTGGTATTCATGAAATAGTAACTAAAATTTTAATAATTAAAAAATTACTAGAAAAAGGCTTCCAGGGCATCACGTAGATCTTTTTTGGGAAGATTTCAGAAAAATATAGACAAGAATTACACAAGATGAATTGCTATATGTATTAGTGGAAAGAATAACCTCACTGATGATATCACACAGATATTCTAGATGGACAAATTTTCTCTCACCCAGTCAGTTACCCAAAGACAGGGGTGAGTGACAATGTTGCAAGAAGTCTGGGAGGAACAGACCTGTTGTTTTCTCTGCTGGCAGTGATGCCACATATGCCATCACTTAAATGAAGCCTATTTAAGTCTGTGGAAGCATTTGTGGCTCTCCCAGCTTTAAAAGAACCAGCATTCTCTAATATGTATTAGTATGGCAAATACTATAGTAGGCTCAATAAATGCCTGGTGATTGATTCTGGAATGCTCTTCCTCCAAAGAACATAGGGTGCTCTACCAAGACTGTTTCTAAAATATTATAATGCCAAAGATACAGGCTGACAAGGTAGAAGGAAGGAAAAAGGAGTGGGAAAAGCAAACAGAATGCAGGCAATGTAAGCAATTACAATCTTTAGACTAACAAGGAAAGGAGAGAGGGATATACATTTACTTTTTAAGTTAATGGAACCGGTCTCACTAATGGTGCTATAGGAAGAAAGAGAAAGCCAAGTATTACGGAGCCTTGGCCTAGGCTAATCACCGTCCTCTTTAGAGGTAGGCTGGTTATCCACCAGGTCATTTTTATCAGAGAGAGAATTCTTTGAAGATCAGAATAGATAAAAGCTCAGGAAATCAAATAATCTGTCAATATAGCCAGTGAACTCAGACAATTTTACTTGACCTTTAAACTAGAGTTTCTGATGAATCTGTGACTCCGGATACTCAAGCTCCTTTTAAAAATATTCTGACAATGTGACACAGCTAGTCACATTAAGTTAATTAAACAGATTTGTTATGTCATCAGTGTGGCTGATTACAAGGAAACAACTTTTTCCACAGAAACAAATGAGTTACTGATCTGCAACTCACAGGCCTGGAGAGCAATCTGAGGCACCATGGGATTAAATGCCTTGCCCATAATTACATAGCCAGGACATGTCAGAGGTGAGATTTGAATCCAGGTATTCCTGCCTCAGAGGCCAGCCCTTATTATGTCACCTTTCAATCTTGTTTAAAAAGCAGGAAAATCTGTTTCAAAGTTTTTGAATCAAAGACTTGCTAGGATAGGTTTTGGAGACTATCCCATGAGTACGTGGATAATTTATAATCAGAGGCTCCCCTGAGGAGGTAGCTGTATTTCAGCCATCCAGGAGCACAGGGTAATATTAGCTCCAGGGTGTTCTTTCCCACATCCTTCCCTCGACCAATCCTCTGTTCCTTCTTGCCAACTTCTGCTTGGCTCTCTGGGAACATCCTGCATGGGACCAACAACCCTCACACACCATATGCACTCGGCCACAGAAGGCCCCAAGGCTACCTACGGCTCACCCACCTTCTTGGCCTCCCACAGCTGTTTTGGCAGTGGCTTGGGAACGTTCAGCAGATTCTCCTCTTTCACAGGGCTGGAGAAAGGAATAACTGGAGCAACATAAACACAACATTGGCTGGATCAGAAGATGAGCCACTCTACCTCTGCTCTAACAGTTCGATGGCCTGTGCACACTTAGCCTATCACTCTGGGGCAGTAAGCAAGCACCAAAGTGTGAAGCAAAGCTTCAAGGGAATGTTCAATTCTTACTTTACTGCAATGAATTCTAAACATCAGATGAATTTCATCTGGCAAATTCTAAATGATGAGATGACATATCTTTCTTCTAGTTAGATATAGAAGACTGAAATAAATTATCATTTTAGGGTAGATTTCTTCTTACTCTAAAATCCTATTAATCTTAAGGTTTTAAAATTTCTCTATGGGTACCTATAATAGATGTGAAATTCTGTGTGGTTAATTTTATAATCAGGAAATCAGACACTTTTTTGTTTTGAATCCATAAGGAATCCATAAAATCTTTTGCAAATCACTTATTTTTATTATGAATTGAGGTGCTGAATCTTCCGAATGGGTTGTAAGGTTAGGCCCCTGAACACTGGTGTTAACTTTGATAGGGCAGTGTCTAGCATGGTGTTTTACACAAGGTGCTCAGTAAGTATCCACTGAACTGAACGTACTGATAGACTAGTCCATACAAATTCCAAATTGTGCTGCATTCTGGTTTAAGAGATACAACTCTTCACAGTCTGGGTTTTGACCTCATGATATCTTAAATTGCCAAACAGAATGGTCTTTTCTCAATCTTCCTTGACCTCTCTGCAACTTCTGACACTCTTCCCTCCATTACAGGCTCTTCTCTCCTGCCTGTCCAATCACTACTTTCAATTTTCTCTGCTGTACCTTCATCCAAGTCACATCTACTAACTGTGAGTATCCTTCAGGGCTCTGTCTTGGACCCTCTTCTCTTCTCTCTCTGTGCTGCTTCACGTGGTGATCTCATCAGTTCTCATGAATTTAATTTCCACCTCCATGGTGATGATTCTAAAATCTACCCCAACCTCTCTCCTGACTTCCAGTCTCCTATCTCTTAACCACCTATTTGATATCTTGAATTGGATATTCCATAGACATCTTTAAACTCAACATGTCTCAAACTGAATTCATTCTATCTTCCTAACTTCCAAATTACTGTTGAGGGTACCACCATCCTCCCAGTCACCCAAGCTCACAACTTACATACTAAACTCAATTCCTCACTCCCCTGCCCACTTCCACTCTGTTTCCAAGACCTGTCCATTTTACCTTGTGACATCCCCTTCCTCTGGCACGGCCACCACCCTAGTCCCGGCCCTTATCGCCTCACACCTGGACTCCTGAAACAGGCTTCAGGTTGGTATCCCTGCCTCAAGTCTTTCCTCATTCCAATCCATCCTTTATTTAGCTGACAAACAGATTACTTCCTAACGTGTCTACTCCGTATGTTCAATCAACTCCAATGGCTTCCTGTCCCCTCTAGGATCAAATACAAAACCCTCAGTTTGTTTTTCAAAGCCCCCTTTGACCTTCCCAGTCTTCCTACACCCGCCTTATCCTCAAGAACTCTTTGATCCAGGGACATTGGCCTCCTCGATGTTCCTCAGATAAGACACTTGATCCCCCGACTGTGTATTTTTACTGGTCAGCCCTTAAGCCTGGAATTCTTTCCCTCCTCATGTCTGCCTTCTGGCTTCCCTCGCTTCCTTTGAGTCCCAACCAAACTGTCACCTTCCGACAGATGTTTCTCCCGGTCTGCCCCACTGTCAGTGCCTTTCCTCTAATATTACCTCTGATTTACTCTGTCTCGATTTTGTCTGTACACAGCTGTTTGCAGTTTTGCCTCCCCCATAAGGCTGTGACTCCTTGAGGGAAGGGGCACTTTCTGCCTTTCTTGGTAGTGTTTGGCACAAGGTGCACACTTACACTTCTTAACTGACTGACCCGGAGAACCTTGATTAAAATTAAAGGAAGGAATATCAATTACTAATATTAGTAGGGACCGGTAGACTTAAAGACCCTCGTGCAAATGTTAACCCAAATACACATGCAGCCTAATCACAGATTTCAATTCTTAAATTCTGATACAGGGCTGGTCTCAGAAAAATGGGGTGTTCAGCCACAAGCAAAATTCTAAGCAGCTACTGGAAATAGAAGACTTGGCGATGAGACTTAGGATGAGGGAGGGGTCAGTTTAGGACTGGTAAGTTAGTACCAATATATCATTTTGAGTTGACGTTACAAAAAAAAGTAAAGTAGATGATAACCAGTCATACCTTCTCCAAATCCATCATTCTCACCATCACAGAAACCTATTAGAACAGAAAAGAGAAACATTACTGTGAAGGATTTATATGTTTCTTCATTCACGTTAGCAATCTCTTCAATCTTTTAGGTACTTATGCTAAAGGCACTTGACCCCCAAACTGAAGAGTGATTTTTAGCATTTTAGCACTCTAGGTAAAAACTAGAAATGGTTTTTGGACCAAATTCTGATTACTACCTATTTCTCACATCTTTGAAAGCTGTTTTGGTGTAACATTTTGCTACAAGTGAAACTATTTTTCATAATGTCTGAGACTACTGGGGTCTCAGAAGTATAAAAGCACAGGCTGGAACACTAAAAAATGCTGTATGAGAAACAAGGATGGCATCAACAAATACAAACATTAAAAAACAAAAATGAGGAACAGAACCCCAAATAAAATCTTAAACCCTAATCTACTCAGATTTTTGATGTGTCTAGTCCACCTACTTGGCACACAGTAGGTACTTAATCAATGATTCTTGAATTTAACAAATAAGAGTACCAACATGTTTGCTGTATGTTCCCTTCTTATCTCTTTTCAAGTTGTGTACTTATAAAATGTTCTTGCTGTTTTAATATGGCCTTGGTCAAAATGTCACTCTTCTAACTCTGCTTTCTGCATTATTCTGTGAAGGACTTTTTAAAAACTTTTAAATATTTTTAATATTTGTATTATTTGATGACTTAGGAATATTATTAACAAATCACATTTATCAAAGCCATTCCCAATTGCTGGAAACACACACACACACACAGGTCCACCATTTTTAATTCTTCACTATTACAAATGGAAACACTAGAAGCACTTTTGTGCAGAAAGGATTTTTTATTTTGAATAGAATACTTATCTTAAGGTGGTTATAGATGTAAAGAAAAGTTTCATATTTACCTAAATACTTACATAAGAATTTTTTGTGGTAACAAAGAAATGAAAAAAAAAAAAGCAGATATATATCCACAAACTGGGGAACAATTAAACAAATTATGGTACATGAATTTAATGGCACATGAAAGACATATTACTATGTTCTTTAAGAAATAACACATGAAGAATTCAGAGGAACATGAGATATATATGAATTAGTGCACAATGAAGTGAGCAGAACCATGAAAACAAAATACACAATGACTATGACATTGTAAATGGAAAGAACAGTATAACAATAATGAATGCTATGTAATTATAATGACCAAGCTTGATCCCAGAGAAGAAAGGAGAAAACAGGCCTCTCTTCTTTCGTGGAGAAATGAAGAACTAGGGGTATGTAATACTATATATGTCATCACACATAATCAATGTGTTGTCAGTTTTCTTGCTGTTGTTCTTGTTTTTTCTTTCTTTTTAAAAATCTGTTACAGTGGAAAGCTCACTGGGAAGGGGGAAGAATATACTTTGGAAGCACTATGATATAAAAATAAAGCATATCAATAGAACTTCAAAAATATTATCTTCAAAGCCTAGTCCTAACAGCGGAAGTCCTTGGGTCAAAGAAAACGACCAGTTTGATAACGCTTATTGCATGATACCAGATTTCTCTTTAAGAAAATCCCCCCATTCACAGCTTCACCAACGATTTAATGCTGCCTGTTCCCCTACAGACCAACCTAGCAACCTACAAAGTATTTCATAATTTTCAACTACTTCTGATGAGTTGATACAGTAAATCAAAGTTGTTTTGATTTGCATTTCTCTAAAATCAGAGAATTTGAACAATTTTTCAGTGATTACTGAATTATATTTTCTTCAAGAATTTCCTAATTCTTTGATAAGAACTAGAGAACTGTTATTACTCTTATAAATCTGACTCAGTGCCTTTAAAGATTATAGACGTCAGATTTTTGTCCGATTTAGTTAACATGAGAGATTTTTTTTCTCAATCTGTTTCTTTTCTTTGCATGGTGGATATGTTGCCTCTTGTTACATAAACTATATATTTTCATATAATCAATCAATTCTATTTTCTCCTCAACAATTTCTTCCATTTGTTTAATATATGTATTTTTGGATTCTATTACTAAGTTTTGTATTTTGTTCCACTGATCTATTTTCCTTTTTTAAAAAAATTTCAATTCCAAAGACTTCATTACTACTCTATAGCATAATCTGAAGTCTGATCAGTCAAGTCGTATTTCATCTTTTTTCCACTTTCCTTTGACATTCTTGCCTCTTTGTTATTCCATACCAATGTTTGTTATCGTTGTATCTAGTTCTATAAAAAAAAGTTTGTTTCTATTTTGGCTGGTGTTACACAGAATCTACACAGTAATCTGTGAAGCACTGACATTTAAAACATCCTAACGATCTATCTATGGCTAGTGGACAGTTTGTCAAACGTTCATTTCTTCATTTATTTCTGTCAAATCTGTTTTGAAGTTTCTTTTATACATTTTCACCTATGTCTTCATAAATTAAAAGCCCAAACTATTTTATGTATTTTCTTGATATTTTAAGTGGTGTTTCTCTAAAAAATTGTCTTCTGGTTTTTGTTAGTGATATATAAAAATGCTGATTTTTTTTGTGTGTGGACTTACCTTTTACCTTATCACCTTGCTAAAAGTTTTTTACCTTAATAACCTTTTTATCATTTATTAACTTATTCATTTATTACCTTAATTAAATTTTCTGTTGAGGCTCTTGGATGCCTGAAACATTCTTCTGAAATTTTCATTTTCTTTGGGTAACTCAAAAGTCTATACACCTATTTCATGCTTACTGTGTGTGTTCTATGAGGAAAAACAAACTGGCATTACTGAATCTCAGAGCTGGAAGGAACCTTAGAGACTGTTAGCTCAATCCCCATTTGAATCGTGAATCCTTTCTCCAACACCCATAAGAAGTGGTCCTCCAGTTCCCGCCTGTGTGATTACTTCCCATGCCCAAGAATTCATCTCATAGCTTCAGCTCTAACTCAGGCAGTCATGGTATCTCTTTAGGGCAGCTTCAATCCTTCCCTCCCCTGGGTCCTTCCCTATCTGCCTACAAAAATGCTCAGGGTCCTGCCATTCCTAAAAAAAAGTCTTCCCTTTACACTGACACCAATCCAGCTAACGCTCCATCTCTCATCATCTTTTCAGTAGCTTGTTTTTGTGATGCTGCTGACCAGCAGATCCTCTGACTCCCCTGGCTTCGGACATCCCACTATCCTAGCTCTCTTCCAATCTCTCTCCATCCTCCCACTTCTTAATGTGAGTGTTCCTAAAAGGACTGTACTGTGTCCTCTTCTCTTTTCCCAATACACGTTTTCCCTTGGTGATCTTGGTAACTCCCCTAGCTTCAGTGACTACTCTATCACCCATCATAACTTGGCTTTCAAATTCTAGAGCCGTCCAGCACAGAGAATTTACTTAATCAATGCTCTCTATTTCTAGCCACCTAGGATACCGCCACTGAGCTGTATCACTGGTAGCTCAGATTTTCTGGATCTTAAGTTTTTACTACCTAGCTGTTTGATCCTGGGTAAGTCACTTAACTTCTCTGCCTCAGTTTCCTCATCTGTGAAATGGAGCTATTAATAGTAGGGCTGTTATAAGGATCAAATGAGATATTTGTAAAGCTCTTTGTAAACCTGAAAGCGCTACATCATGCTAGCTATCATAATATCAATTATTATTAATGCAGCCTAAGATTGCATTAGAAATTATGACTGTTAAACCACACTGTAGACTAAAATTGAACCTGTAAGGCACTAAAACTCCAAGATTTTTCTCACCTAAATGGTTGTCTTATCAAACTTCTCACATAGTATATACTTATTTATGTAGCTGATTCTTTAACCTAAGGTAGAACTTTACATTTTTCCCTCTTCTTCATCTTATTTGCTCACTATTTGAATACAGATGAAATTTAAGGAAATTATAATTCTATATCTTTACTGACGGTGCCCCTTCTCCACATTTTTTAGGCCTACTTTTCTTTCTGCACGTCAGGGAAGGGAGGAGGAATATGCATTTATAGAGCACCTTCTATATATGCCATGCATTGTACTAAGCTTTTTTTTTACAAATATTATCTCAAATATTATTATTAGTCGCTTTCATGTTACAATGTGAGATTTCTTCATTCCTCATCTGGTTGTACTAATTCGGGACTTGTCCCACTGACTTCTCCCCCTGCCCCAGGAAGCTCACTCTTAGGACAACCTCAGCATGCTATAAAATCTCATTAGCCTTGGGACTCTACCTTATCATCACCCTCTGCCTCTCTGATGTGCTAATAAGGCCTTTTAATGGAGAGAGCTCAGCTCACACACCTCCTCATTGCTCACTCAGCTGCACTGGCTTTGGGACTTGTCCACCATGTTCCCAGGTCAAGTAACTACTCCCTCCACCCCTCTGCATTTAACTCCCTTTGCATGTTGTCTTCCTTGGTTGGATTGTGAGCTCCTTGAAGGCCAAGAACTGTCTTTCTTTTTTTGTATCTGTATCCCATAGTGCCTGGTACATATTAAGCGCATGACAAATGTTTAACGATGATTGACTACTGAGTGAAAAAGTATCATTCACTATGGTTCCTTGCATTTTAAGCTGGATCTCTAATTTGTGCTCCATTAGGGGGAATTTTAGACATCACACCGACCTGAATTCTTTTTAGTTAGAAAAGTAGCCACAATCTAGTCAGTTTTGGACTTTAGAGCTGGTAGAAATGGGAGGAAGGGTGTCACTGGCTTTTTCTAGCTGGAACCCTGAACATGGTGCCTGCTCAAAACCTGGGCCAGATACTTCCTCCATTCTCCATTCTGGGTGGTGGTAGATGACTGGTAGCAGATGTAAAACTTTGGGAGGCTTAGCCATGGGCAAAAGGTAGCAGCTTGAAATTTGGATCCAGATGTATGTGTGTGTGTGTGTGTGTGTGCGCGCGAGAGAGAGAGAGAGAGAGAGAGATAGACAGACAAACAGAGAAGAATTAAACTGTGCATGGTATGGGGAAAATTTTGGCACCACCATTTATACAAACTGGGAAATTAAAAACAATAAGAAGAAAAGTACAGATGGTTTGATTGTAACAAAGTAACACTCTAAGCAATTACAGTCATTTCTACAAACTAGTATTAATGTGTCATTATCACAGAGCACAATCATAATTATGTATTCAATTAAACATGTATCAGATTAGTTTACATTCACTTATCCTCAGCTTACATAGTTTGTCGCTCACACAACATAGTTATTTGCTCACAACTAAGAAAATTAGAGGGAACCCTAGGGTGCAATCCGGTAAAAATTCCCAGGGAAAGAACAGCTGTTATCACCACTACTACAGTGCTTAATCCTAGACTTACGTTATACTTTCCCATCGTCTTTTTTTTTCATTTTTACCTTATTTGGTAAAATCTATGATTAGAAATACTTTTTTTTTTTGCAAAGCTAGTTGATATTTTTAAATTCCAAAGGAAGGAAAATGAAAAGCTTTAATGAATTACAGGGGGAAAATACATGAAACTGTTTAAAATAGCTCCTACCAGCAAATCTAAGTCTCCAGAAATAATTCTTATCCTTGGAGACTTGAATTTTTAAAACACAAATAGCTTTCCCATATAAACAAAAATCCATATTTGGATGCATTTTTGATTTATGGTTTAACTGCAAGGAAATATTATTTCATGCAGAAAAGCAGAAAGCCAGTAGTCATGCTTACGATATGACTACCTTTTCTTTTCGACCTTGCAAATTTAGGAGGCTAACAATGTATAATTGATGATTTAAGGAAAAATAAACAAAGAAGACCTACTTAAATCACTTTATTGTAATCTTTCACTGATCAGTCTAATCAGTTTGATGTCCAGGATTCTTCTATGTCTCTGTAATTCTTATTCTTCCTACTTATAAATATTTCTAGCCTTTACCATCCTCATTTCCCTCTCCATCATTAGTCTCAATTCTCTATTTATTCATTCAAGAGTAATGGAATACCTACCGTGCACAAGGCACAGAGAATACAAAAGTGACTAAGGAAAGACCTGTGCCCTTAAGAAGTTTATATTTATAAGATTTTTAACTAGAAGGGGCTTGAGAGAGCATCCTCAATTTAGAAAATCCTCAATTTACAAATAAGGAAACTGAGGTCTAGAGATATAAAGTGACCTGCTTAAGATCATACAGTTTGTTAGCTGAGCTAGGATTCAAACTCTAGGTATATTTTCAAATTCAACTTAATCCAATAAGCATTTTTTATCTGCTACATGCCAGGCACTATGCTAAGTACCCTCTCTACTACACGCAGTAGGGAAGACAGTACACACACAAAGAGAATTAAAATACTATGAACAGCACCATAAGAAAGTTCTGAACCAAACACATTAAGGGTTCAGAGGAATGAGTACAGATGGGATGAAGAAGACAGGTTTGAAGAACAGCACATGATCTAGCTTGGCTGGAGTGCAGGATACTTAAGGAAAGCCACTGAGACAAGATTAGAAAGCTAGGTCAGGTGACATGGTCTGCTGACCATGTATGCCAGTCTAAAGAAAATGATAACAAGGAGCCATTTGCTGTTTTAAAGCAGAAATATGATCAAGGCTAAGCAACAGGAAGACTGACTTTGCATCAGTGCCCTGTAGGGATCAGAGGGGGAGATGCAAAGTGGAGAGATTTAGTTAATACTGCAATAATGACAACACTGGGTGGCAAAGCAGAAAGACAGCAGGACTGGGGTCAGGAGAGGCTGGGCTTCAAATCCCACTTCTGACGCTAACTTGGTGTATGGCCATGGGCAGGTGACTTAACTCTTTTGAGCCTCAGTTTCCTCATCTGTAATATGGAGATCAAAATAGCACCAACCTCAAAGGGTTGTTTTCTGGTCCAAATGAGCTGTTATGTAAATCACTTTGAAACCTAAAGCACTAAATAAATACCCACTATTATTAGAGGTAGTAGGACACACCCTACAAGATGGCTATGTATTATACGCATGTATAGAAAGCTGTATAAAGCTTAATGCACTATGTTAATTGTTGTTATTCTAACAGTTATCTTAGCATTATGATTGTTCAAAGAGTTAAGAAGAGCCTGAACTAGAACAGAACCAAAGGAAGGGAGAGGACATATGGCAAAGATGCTAGGACTACTGGATTGTCTTGAGCTAGACAAGCCCCGGCTATCTAAGGGCAGTCTTATAGATGAGGCAAGTGGGGCCCTAAGAGAGAAAGCGATTTGCCCAAGTCACGAGACTATGACAGAGGGCAGATCCTGGATTCACACTAGGATTTCTAACTTCAAATCCACTGTTTTCCCCACTATACAATGCTGTTACAGAGGCAAAATCAATATTAATCTCTTGTCAGAGTTACTTTCTTCCGTTTAAGTGTGCCAAAACCTCCTTGTTTCAAATGCCCATCACCTCATTTAACCACTTTTTAAGTTACTGACTTTTTTCTTCCTTCCCTTCTTTTGTTTCTAATGTTCAGAAACGTGTTCCCTACTCATGTTCCCACTGATTTTCTTGCTCTCACTTCATCCTTCATTCCTTTTAGAAAAAACAAAATATTCTGCATCAGATAAGAAACAGCCATTAGAACTGGCTAGAATAAGAATTAAAGTCCTTATTCTGGCTGTTAGGGCATTGTCTGTCAATCTGCTTCAGTCTTGGGTTCAGCTGAGACTAAGTAAGCTACTTGCTAATTCTGCACTCCCTCAGTGACATGTAATAATCTCTCTTCTGTCAGTGATTCTATTCCCCTAACTCCCCCTCCACATCTACTTCCTCTCATCTGTTTCTCATCCCCCCACCCCCACAACATGCCACAAAGCCTCTCTTAGAAACTCCAATACAATCAACCTAATTTTGCCCTCATAGATTTATATGTGGAAACAAACCCTTCTGCAGTAAGCCAAAACTCTTAGACCCATTACACTCTGAAAAAGAGCTATCATTAAGGGAAGAATAAATTTGATTACTACAAATTAGAGACATTCCTTTATACTTACTCAAGGCCTACTGACAGCTCAGCAGAAAGAGCTGCCACAACAAGGAAGGAGGAGCGCCTTATTCCCTTGCCCTATTCCTTCCCCTGGCCTGGGATATTCCAGACCCCACTCAGGGCAGCCAGGCAGGAAGAATACTTCCATCAGAGGCATTCTGCCCCCTTGCCTCCTCCTTTGCTTAGACTCCATGACTGCTCGTAAGGTTTGAAGGAGATAGAGGTCAAACGCTCCATTTCTTCTGACGAAATGGAAGAAGACCAGACCTTCCCATGTGCCCTGCTGTTCCCCAGAACTGTCCTCTTAACTACTTGAATAAACTAAGAACCTTGAGGCCTTACCATCTACCCCATCACTGTACCCTTACGACTTCTAGGCCTCTCCACCTGCCTGCAGCCAAACTTTCTTTCGTGTGTGAGCTCTTTGAGAGCAAGGACCATGTTGCCTTTTTGTATTTGTATCCTCAGTGCTTAGCACCATGCTTGGCACATAGTAAGCACTCAAAAAATTTGTTTTCAAAAAATTAATTAATTAGTCCACACCAGAAAGAGTCATTGTGAGAACTATATAGAACTTTTGAGTTTTAAAAGCAGAGAAAGACAGAAGAATTAGTTCACAGTTGGAAGAAATTTTTTTTCAACTCAGACCTAAAAGTCCTAAAGGTTTTTATTATTTTTCTGATTTTAGGCATGTAAATCAATCTGCCAGTTAGCAGGATTCCACAAGTACACATCATTTGGGACTATCACATATTATGAGCTCCTGACAGGTGGAAATGGAATCCTTACTTTACAATTATGCCTGGTATCACATATAGCATGTGTACATGTCAATACTTAGTGAGTATTAGAAATCAGAGAGCATGATTAAATATTCCTGGTTCCAGCATGATCAGGAATAACATATAAATGTTATAAACATTATCCTAGATACATTGAGAACATACAAACCCTTCATCTACCTTAAGACTTTTGTGGAAAGCTGGCTAAATTAGCTATTGTCTGTAATACCTCTTATCCTTATTTTCTCTCTCACATAAGAATCACTCTCAAAATCCAATGGACCAAAAAAGAGGACACTACTATTATTGGTGCCCTATCTTACCCATGCATTGGGCAGGCCAGGAAGACTGGTCACCTTCTCCATAGGGGTCCTGTGGCTTGGTGCTTAAGGCGCTGGTGTGAAGAGCAGAGTCTGAATTGGTCCTAAGAGAGGGGGATTGGGGGAGATTGTATGTGAATCTCAGGATCAAAAACCCTTGGGCAACATGGCCTTACTATTTCCTTTGTAGAAATAAGCAGCATTCACCATTAAGCATGAAAAACCAGAAGCAAAAGAATGAAGGTTTCATTTACTTCTATGTACTTTATTTGCACATTACAGGCAGCTCCAATTCTCTATGGTTGATCTGGGAAAAGATCTACTGTCCTAAAACACAACCCTCCTTCTATGAGATTTCCCAAATGTTTAAAAGGAGGTCCATATGTTCTCCGATTCTGTCATGTGAGCTTTGACATGTCTGCTCTGATAAATGGAAAGCCAAGACAACCCTGCCTTCTTCATCAAGGAAGAATTCAGAAAGATGTCTGGATACTTCGTGAATCTGTAACTGTCTGCTCCCTGGGACTAGCTAACATAAGGCCTAGTGCTGTAACTCCTTCCTAGTCTTCTCTAGCCCATAAAGCACTGACAATTCTGTTCCTGGCACTAGACTCTCCTCATCTGAGATTATTTATTCCCATGCAGAACATTAATGGCCCATTTCCCGCACTCTTGAAAACAATCCTCGCCGTATTTGTCAAGGATTGCCCTGACCTCCAGAATACTGGAGGCTTGAGCTTCATCCTAAATTCATCTCTCCAGGCTAGTCTAGGCTATAGGCTCACACTGACTTGGCAGACCCTGCTTTTGTCTTTGTCTGGGCCATGTTTCATGCTGGGACCTATTGGTGCAAATCTGACATCCTCTGTCCCATCAATCCAGTAAGTGAACAGTAGTATTCACGAGAGAAGTAAAACTTTAACTAACAGGAGTAAAAGGATGTCCTAGCAATTAGATCACACATACAGAGCATAAAGATAGCCCATCTGAGTTAGCTTTTCCTGTTGCAGTCATTTTTCTTGAAGAAGGATTTAGTGGGAAAGAAATACTTCACCTGTTAAGTGCAGATGTCAGCCTGAATCCGGGCTGCTTCTCTTCCTTCCAAGGAGGCTGCTGCCTTTGAAAATCAAAAGAAGCAAAAAGTGAAGAGGTGCTCAATCACGAGAGACAGTGTAGTACCAAGCACCCTGGAGACCTGGGTTCTACTCCCTGTAACCCTAGATGAGTCCCTTTAGAGACTTCAGAGAACTTCTTCTGGTTCTCAATTCCCCCACTTGTAAAATGAAGGACTAAACCAGTAGATCTATATGGTAAACTGGTACATTATAATAAGGGTATTAAGCATCTTTCTTTTGAAGGAATTCTCCAAATAACAATGACAGCTTTCTTATTTAATGACCAACTGACCACACACCAAAACTGAGTGGATATTAACCCAAAGGCATAAACTACTACTTTTATGTCCTAATTGCACAAAAAACAATTTTTGGCTATTTGAACGCAAAGGGCCTCATTCAAAGGATTAAATAATGGAGGATACTAGAACCATATAACGGTAACGGCTCTCCAGCTTAGCAGAAGAAGGACAAATTCAGCTGGAAAGCATGAGGCATCCTCACTTGATATCAACTTTTCTGTACAAAGAAATGTGAGCCCTTTGAGGCCTGAATTGTCTCCTATCATATCTGTCCCTTTAGTGCCTGGCCCAGTGCCTGCCACATTGTGGTGTTTGCTGACCGACTACCTCAGAGCGCCCTAGGCTGAACCTCCACACTGAGGCAGCTTAGAGTAGGCTAAGTGCCTTCTGGGGCCTCTCATCATAATGCCTGTTGTGCTTCCTGGGGAAGAAGACTTGACTTTTCCTCTTTCAGCAACGGAGTTACACAACAATCATGAACTATCTGTACTTCGTAAGACTAGATTTTAAGCCCGTGACTTCAGATCTCTTTATGCCATAAGGATTTACAACCCTACACTTGCCCAAGAAAAATTCAATAAACTTTGCAGCTGTCTGAGATTGTTGCTGTGGAGTTCCCAAAGATGATGAAGTCACAGGACCAGACACACCCTGTTCAACACTGTTCCCTCCTCAACAGTTTGGCAACAACAAAAATTTCTAGATTTTTTCACTAGAAATATGTATCATTCCAAAAGGACAGTATGGGCACGAATACCCCATGACACCCCAGCTTTAACAATGTGTCTTGCTTACCTCATCCAGCTCTCATCCCCGGGCTGGGCAGGGTAACTGGCTCCATAAGAACTGCTATCAAAGTGGAATGGTGAGTGAAGGAAATGCAGGGGAAACCCCTGCCTGCAACAGTAAGAGCACAATGGAGGGGCTGGGGTTACCCAGGAATCAGACCCAATATTTATTAAGGATCTGCCACCTCTCTGCCTTCTCCCTCTAGGTCTTCCTGCTCCCTGTTGTCCTCACTGCCCTCCAGCAGTCAGGGGACTTCTCTTTACATGCCCCCAGCCCTAGTTTTCCTGTAGCTTCTTGGATTTCTTACTGTGCTTTGAGAAAAGCAAAAGTAAAATGCCAAACAAAAAAGTCTTTCAGTTGAGGTTCGGGGCAAAGCACTTCATCTTATGCAGATAATGACAGACCTGCCATTACTGGGTGTTGTAAATTTGATTCTATGACATCTTTTCCCAACTCAAAAGTTATATATGCACAGTGCTTTAAAGAAATTTAATATGGGCAAAAAAAAAATGGAGGGGGAGGAGGGTGGAAGGAAGGAAATTAGCAATACTTTTTCATATAACTGGATAACCCATAATGTTGCATAACCAGGCAAAGAACCACTGTTGTAGGGCTTTAATAAGTAAAAATACACTAATATACAAGATTTCTTATCGAAGCAGAGGCCACCATAGCTGGTGAAAGCTTCTCTTCCTATTCATTCTTAATCCTGGCTTTTGTGTATGGGTTTGTGTGTGTAGAGATTTTTTTTTCATTCCAAATCAAATGACTAGCCATGAAAACAAACAAAATAAACACTGAGATAGCTGTCCTGAAATCAGAAGACCTGGGCTGAAATGTTTCCTCTGATGTTTATTACCTGTGTGACTCAGGGCAAGGCATTTCACCTTCCAAGGCCTCATGTTCCTCAACAGGAAAATGAGTGTTGGCCTAGATGGTCTCTGAGGTCACTTTCAGTTCCAGACCTACAGCCCTACCATAAAGCCATCAACTCTAAACTATTAACAGTTAATTCTTTTAAAGTGTAGATTAGCTTGAGTGTAACAGTAACAAAACCACCCCATTTCCTTGTGCCTCTTTAAAACTTTGCTGCTATTGTTTACGTCCGTGTGGTTTGCTGTGTGCATTCTTGGTCTGATTCTGCTTTCTTCACTGCTTGTCCCTTCATGTGAGTCTTTCCATATGTCTTTGATGCTCCTCATACTCACTTCCCATAGAGCAATAAAGCTCTGCCACTTACTGTGTAATTCTGGGGTGGGTTTTACAATGCCAAATGCAACGTTCTTTCCACAGTGTAAAGAAATTTCACTTTATAGTCTACAATTATTTGTTATTATAAATATAAAGCTACCATGAATATCTGTAACAGACTTTTTCCACTTCTTTCCTTCTTATTGTTTTGGATATAATACATTTTGTTCCTAATCTGGCACCTTAAGTGACACGGCAAGCCTTGGTTCTCAAAGCCTAAGCTGGCGGAGCATGAGGTCTAACAAGTCCTACTTATCAAGCTAGAAGGCTTTGTGCACAGGGGCTGACACTAATAACTAGCATTTATTTAAGGTTTAAGGTTCGCCAAGTTTTTTACAAGTATTATCTCATTTTATCTTCAAGACAAAGGTAGGTGGTACAGGTGCTATTACTTTCCCCATTTAATAGTTGAGGTAACTGAAAACAGAGGTCTGTGTCCAGGCTCACAAACCTAGTGTGAGAGGCCAGATTTGAACTCAGGTTTTCCTGATTTAAGGTCCAGGGCTCTGATTCAATGCACTACCTGGCTACCTCCTACTTATACAGAGTAAGGGATCCATAAACATGTTTATTTTTTATTAATTCAAATAAAATAGGCCTAAGATAATCTCTGGATAGCTAGGGAATGGAAGACTTCTGTCCTCCAAATAGCATTCTCTGCTCTAGTTTTATTTCTACAAGGAAGCCAAGATTATTATCAGGTAACTGAAGTAAACATGAGCTTTACAAACTGAGGTGTCCTACTAAATTCATACTGGTTTTGCACATTTATCTTTCAAACGTGAGGCACACTTCAGACACATTTAAAAAGCTGCTGTGTCTTTTCTAAGGGCAGATGTTACTATTAAAAGATTTACAATTAGGCTCCAGAGTAAAGAGTTAGGCAGTAGACCTAGAGAGAAACAAATTCAGAAGCAAGCAGCAGTGCTGTAGCTTAGACACCTCTCAGGCCACAGGAGTAGAAGGAGGTCTCAGGCCCATCCAGTCCAGTCTGAAGCTGCAGAGGAATTACCAAGGTAGAAATCGCAGCTCAAAAAAGAGCCTACAGTTCTTCTGTTAAACTGGCTGATGGGGGCTGAGTTCCAGGAGCAATCTATTGTTGCCAGACCCAAACCCATGTCAGGAACTTGCGGAGAGCAAACCAGTGGTGGGCAACAAATATGACTCTGTCCTAGATCAGTGCCTTTTGGGTGTAATAAAAGCTTGCAGGTCCCCAGCCTGGAATAACACAGCACTGAGTACCCCAAGAACACAGCAACAGGATCAGCCCAGATCTTCCCTCCAGATATGCACAGTAACTGACCCTAACATCAAGCTGAAAGTCAGCAAGGAAACCGAAGAATAAGCAAACAAAAAAAGAGCCCCATCACAAGGAGCTTTTATGGTGATGGGGACGCTCAAGACACAAACATGGAAAACAGAAATGACTCCAAAACATCCACGAGGAAAGCCTCAAAGAAAAACACAGCACAGGCAAAAATTTACCCAGAATTTTTGGAAGAAATGAAAAGCACAGAAAAAAGAAGTTAAAAATATTTGGAAAACAAATGACAGCTACAGAAGAAAGAACTGGAAAGGGAATTAACAGGTTGGTACAAGGTACATAACCATGCCCGAGCAACAAACTCTCTGAAAATTAGGATGAGCCAAACACAAACCAATGATTTCATGAGACAACAAGGAACATTAAAAACAAAGTCAAAGGACTGAAAAAAAAAACCAAACAAGAAAATACAAGGTACTTACAACAAAACAAATCAAAGGAAAAAAATGCAAGAATCATTGGACTAAAAATCATAACCAAAAAAAGGGCCTAGACATTTTTCAAGAAATCATAAAAGTAAACTGTCTAGACCTCTTAGAAGCAAAGGGAAAAGTGTCTATAAAAGAATCCACTAGTCACTTCCTGAAACTTCCAAATGAAAATTCCCAAACTCAAAGCTTCTATGTCAAAGAAAAAATGTCAGAGAAAAAATACTACAAGCAGCCAAAAAAGAAAAAATTCAAGTACTGAGAAGACACAGTCAGGAATACAAGATTTAACATCCATCACAGAAAGAAAGGGAGATCCTGGAATATGATATTCCAAAAGGCAAAGGACATAGGCTTACGGCCAAGAACATCTTGCCCAGCAAAACTGAGTATAATCCTACAAGAGGGAAAAATTGATCTTTGATGAAATTGGGGAATTCTAAGCATTCTTCATGAAAAGTTCAGAGCTGCATAGAAACTATGAAGTTTAAACATAGCAGTAATTATAAGGGACTAAACAGGGACAAACTGTTTACATTTTATTATGGGGAAATGATACCTGTGTCTCTACTCAATCCTATCATCATCAGGGGTAAGAGGAGGAATCCAAGTAGACAGAAGACCTGGAGTGGTTCTGTTATGTCTTGATCTTAAAAGAGAATTAGAAAAGGAGTAAGTAAAGTAAAAGGAGTGGTAAGTAAAGAAGACTAGAATAGGAATACACTAGGGAAAAGGAAAAGAAAAGTTAGGGGAAATGTTCTCACTTGATCCGGCTGCACAAATAGAAGTCTATACAAACAAGAGAGATGGGGGGAGCAGTTGAACCTCACTCTCATCTATAATGATTAAAGGAGAGAAAACTGCACGCACATAGTTAGGAAGAGAAACATTTCATTCAGTAGGGAAATAAGTAGGAAAAAGGAAAAAGAGGAAGAGGGAAATTAGAAGAAAGATACAGTAACGAAGGGATTGGTCCTAAGAAAAACCCTAAGGAGATACAATATTAAAATATTTACAGATCTTTTTCAGGTGGCAAAGAGTTGTAATCTGAAGAGGAGTTCATTAATTAGAGAAAGGCTGAACAAGTTACGGTACATAAAAGTGATGGAATACGATTATGCTATAAGAAATCATGAAGGAGCTAGTCTCAGAGAAACCTAGAAAGACTGATGCAGAGTAAAGTGAACTGAACCAGGTGAACAATTCATACAAGGACCATATTTAGCTTAGCACAGTGCCTGGCATAGTTAGGTGCTTAATAAATGTTTACTGACCACTGAAAGAACTCTGATCAGCGTAATGACTAATCATAATTCCAGGGGACTAATAAAAAAAACATGCTACCTACATCCTGACACACAAGCAAAGGACTCAGTGCAGAATGATACATGTATATGTGTGTGTGTATGAATGACTTGGTCAATGTGGAAATAGGTTTTTGTTTGACTATACCTGTTTATAACTGGTTTTGTTTTTCTTTCATTCTTTATGGGATGGGTGAGGAGTCAGAAAAGGCAGATTTTTGCTGATTAAAAAAATGAAATTAAAAAAGTTTTTTTTAAAGGAAATGATTTCTGAAATATTAATGATTAGGCCTGCTGTGTATAAAGTACAAAGGAGTAAGCATGCTATAAAAGGAGAAGGCAAGGGAAAAAGTGACAAGGAAGCAAAGAAGGGAATTGAAAAAACAAACTCTACAATGCATTTAGACTGCACACCCACAGAATACACTGCTGGTCTTAACAAACTGCATCCATTCATTTATTTGCTCTCTCCATGTCCCCTGTGAAATTAATTTCCTTCTGATCTGTTAGGTCTAATTATATCTCAACACTAAGCCCACAATATTAGTGATAAAAACTGGACACCCAACTATGAAGGCTCCTATTTTTACATTTACAAAGTACTTTTTCATACATTGTTTTAGATCCTTATAACACTGTAAGTTAGACAGTACAAGTACTATTACATATATAAGGACATTCAGGCTCAAAGAAATTTGCCCAATGATAACTGGTACATCTTCTTATTTTAATTTTAAAAAAGCATAGCATCATCCTGATGT